TTCTCAGGCTAAAACAGAGGCGGTCCTGTTGAGGTTTGGGACGGGAACCCATCAGAATTCCAGCACTGGAAAGAAAAGGTTGCAAAATGTGGCAGTGCCAACCTCCTTCTGTGCTGTTGGCAGCATTATGAATGCAAGGAAAATTAGACAGACCTGGAATTGTGGTCTGTTTGAAGGAGGGTTTCCTTCAGGCTGGGGATGGATACATTCGCCCTGCAGGTGCCACAAGGGTGGAACTGATCAGGATCAAATGTGAGCCTGAATGAATGAATGAATGAAAATGAATGAATGAATGAATGAATGAATGAATGAATGAATGAATGTGTTGTGACTCCGACCCCCGAGGCCGACTTATCGGAGGGAGAAGGCTGCGAACATGAAGGAGAGGAGTTGGCCAGGCCTCCCTCTCAGGACCCTCCTCTCTGGCAATGCCTCAGGTGTCTCCCGAGGGAGAAGAGATTGGCCAGGAGCCAGGTATCTCCTCGCAGTCGGACAGTGACAGAGATAAGTCTTGGCTGGATCCACGCCAGCGTCGGAGAGACAAGCACACGCAGCAGAAAGGAGCGTGCCAGAGATTAAGCTGAGTCACTGGACCACACCCCACAGGGGATATAAGGGGGTGAGGTGGCCATTCAGACTCTGTGACGGACAAAACTAACTACTAGCGAGTCACATTGTATCTTTGCAACGACGATATCTGCTTGGATTTAATACGGACTGGACTTGACAATTCTTGAACTGTGTGTATCTTGTTTGGCTTTATCTGTCGGAGGACAACCTCCCTTTATGGGTAAAGTTCTTGGCAGCAGCTACTGGGTTGCTGCCAATCCTCTTATCGAAAGAATTTGTTGTCTGCCAGTTTTATTTAACCCCGGATATCTGTTTGTGTGCGTGTGTGAGACGGGATCAGAACAGAATGAATGAATGAATGAATGAATGAATGAATGAATGAATGAATGAGCGAGCTGGAAGGAACCTTGGAGGTCTTCTAGTCCAACCTCCTGCTCAACCAGGAGAACCTATACCCATGATGGCGAACCTATGGCACTGATGCCACAGGTGGCACACGGAGCCATATCTGTGGGCACGTTAACGTTGCCCTAGCACAGCTCCAGTGCATACTGGCCAGCTGATTTTTGGGCCTTCTGGGCCCACTGGAAGTCGGGAAATGGGCCATTTCCGGCCTCTGGAGGGCCTCTGCAGGGGTGGGGAAGGCTGTTTTAACCCTCCCCAGGCTCCAAGGAAGCCTCTGGAGTCTGGGGAGGGCAAAAAACGGGTCTACTGGGCCCACCGTTAACCTTTTTACCGTCATGTGCCAAAGCGTGGGTAGCACGGGTGGGTCGCGTGCGCATGCGCGGGGGGTGCGGGGTGTGGTGGGGCATTGAATTATGGGTGTGGGCACGCACACGCACAATCCCCCATGCTCCCCATGCTTTTGGCACACGATGGCAAAAAGGTTGGCCATCACTGATCTATACTATTTCAGATAAGTGACTGTCATTTAAGAGTCTTTTTAAACGAGGCATCCTGCCTGGTTACATTACAGGTAGTCCTCGACTTAAAAACCATTCATTTAGTGACCATTCAAAGTTACAAAAGTGATCATTTTTCACACTTACGACCTTTGCATCAGCCTCATGGTCATGCGATGCAAATTAAAACGCTTGGCCGCTGACTCATATTTATGACGGGTTGGAATATCCCGGGGTCACGGGATCCCCTTCGGACAAGCAAAGTCCACGGGGAAGCCAGATTCACTTAACAACCGTGTGACTCGCTTAATAACGGCAGCGATTCACTTAGCAACTGTGGCAAGAAAGGTCATAAAACGGTGGCAACACTGTCTTAACAACTCTCTTGCTTAGCAATAGAAAGTTTGGGCTGAAATGTAGTCATAAGTCGAAGATTAACTGTACTAGAAAATGCAGAAGCAGTTCATTTGCAGAATAGAGGACAATTTCTCTACTAACATTTCTTCTCTCTTTTTCTCAGTTAAGAAATACAGTCAGCAACTTTGGGAAACTGTTTTAAACTCTGAAGCAAGTGGTTGTTTTTTTCTAATTTAGCACCTTACCGGGGTGAAATGTAAAATTTGTTACTACTGGTTCTGTGGGCGTGGCTTGGGGGGGTAATGTGACTGGGTGGGCGTGGCCAACTTTTTAAAAAAAAAACTTTTCAAAGCATTTTTTCTAATGCCTTGAAAAGCCTCTGCGATCAGGCAACTCAGCTGGGATCGCCAGAGTCTTTTCCAAGTATTTTTTTTACCACCTCTTCGGCCAAGAGGTTGCAGGAAAAAATGCTTTGAAAAGCCTCTGACGATCCCAGCTGAGCGCGCATTCATCAGAGGCTTTTTTTTTTACTTTTAAAAACATTTTTCATCAGAAGAGGTTGTAGAAAAAATGCTTTTAAAAGTTTTTAAAAAGCCTCTGATGATCCTGCAGCTCAGCTGGGCATGGTGGTGGTGGGGTGGGGGCAGAGATTTTTGCTACCGGTTCTCTGAACCACCCGCCACCATCGCTACCGGATTGGGCGATCCGGTCCGAACCGGGAGCATTTCACCCCTGCACCTTACTCTCTCAATCCTGCTTCCAATTCCATCCAGTGATGTCCGCAGTCTACATTAAAATAGGTTTGTCTTTGGCTGCATCCAATAAAGACAATTTTATGTGCAACAGCAGCCAATTTGCATTGGGTGATCTTTTTTTTTTTTAAATTGAAAAGTTTTACAAAGAAAATTTCCCCCCCCCTCAATATTCCCCCCACCCTTTTCCCACCCTCCCCCCACCCAGACTTCCCAGAGCAAAATACAGGGTATTTCAATTAACAATCATAAGCTAAATTAGCCTAACTATTCTTAAACTACCTATTCCTCCCCCCGCAAACCTTAACTCCACTATGGATAACATGACACTTCTAAAATAAAGTTTAACATTCATTCATAAGCTATTTGATATTTTCTTGTCTGATACTTATTTTGAATATAATCAATCCATCTTCTCCATTCCGATATGTATCTTTCTTGTGTATAGTCCTTCAAATATGCTGAAATTTTCGCCATTTCCGCTAAGTGCAATGGGTGGTCTTTTAGCGCCCTCTAGAGGGAAGTGCCGCATTTGCCAGGTGTCCAAGATTAGTCCTTATTTATTGCTGCTCTTTGGTTGATCCGACTTTCCAGCACTTCTGGGTGGTTTACAGAGTCAGCCTCTTGCCCCCCAAACAATCTGGGTCCTCTTTTTAGCGATCTCAGAAAGATGGAAGGCTGAGTCAACCTTGAACCAGTCAAGTTGAACCTCAGACTGCGGGCAGAGTTAGCCTCCAGGACTGCATTCTAGCCACTGCTTCCCAGGCCTGACAATAAATGGCTAAATGAATGATGACTGTTGCCCTTCTGGAGCATGTATGAGACGCAGAGACAGACATGCCTTTATTTCATGTTGTGTGTGGGGGGGTTTTTTGTTTTTTGTTTTGTATTTTACCCAAGAGACAAAGGAGGAAGGTCATTTGTGGTCTTCTCTTGCATCAACATTTCTTAGGTAAGCTTTCGAAAGAAAACTGCTGTATTGTTTTGTGAACGGGCCCCAGAAGAAAAGAGGAAAGGCAGAGGGCCAGATCATAGAATCTGAGAACTGGAAGGGACCCTGGAGGTCTTGTAGTCTAACCCCTTGCCCAAGGCAGGAGTCCTTATACTATCTTGTCCGATCTTTTCTTGAAAACCTCCAGTGATGGAGCACCCACAACTCTGGGAGAGGAGCTGTTCCATTGATTAATTGCTCTCACAACCAGGAAATTGGCTTTTCGTGGCTAAGTGCAGGAGCTTACTTGTTCTGACCCAGCTCCCCAAACACGACAAACCCTCTGAAGTTCTCAAAGATTCCTTAATTAGGAGCGCCAGCAAAAAGTTTCTCTCTCAACGCAGATGAATCGTTGTCTGACAAACCTATTCATCTCCGCCCCCTGCCTTTGATCCCCGGAGCTAGGGTGGGGCTTCGCTAGCAGCGGTAGCTCTTCCGTCCCGAGGATCAGCCCACATATTTCCACTGCTCTCCTCTCCTCTGCCTTCTGCGCATCCACGTGTCAGGCACTGGACCCAGCTGTTCCTCCTCTTCCTCATCAGCCACCTCCAGACCTGGGGGCTGTTGACCCTCCATCTGAGGGCTGACAGACGGCCCAGGCTCTACCCCTCTCTCTCTCTCTCTCTCTTTATCTCTATCATCTCTCTCTCTCTCTCTCTCTTTATCTCTATCTATCCTCTCTCTCTCTCTTTCTCTATCTATCATCTCTCTATCTATCTATCTATCCTCTCTTTCTCTCTCTCTTTCTCTCTATCTATCCTCTCTCTCTCTTTCTATCTATCCTCTCTCTCTCTCTCTCTCTTTATCTCTCTCTCTCTCTCTCTCTCTCTCTCTCTCTGCCAGCTCCATTCCCTCTTCCCCCTCGGAGCTCTCAGATTGCCTTGATGCTGACCCCAACTCCCACTCCTCCTCCGCCTCTGATTCGGCTGCTGGAGGGGCCGGTGGCCAACAAGCCACAACACAGTGGTGGGTTTCAAAAATTTTTACTACGGTTCTTTGGCCGTGGCTTGGTGGGTGTGGCAGGGGAAGGATACTGTAAAATCTCCATTCCTGCCCCAATCCAGGGGAAGGATGCTGCAAAATCCCCATTTCCTCCCGATCAGCTGGGACTTGGGAGGCAGAGAATAGATGGGGGCGGGGCCAGTCAGAATTTTTACTACCAGTTCTCTGAACTACTCAAAATTTCCGCTACCGGTTCTCCAGAACTGGTCAGAACCTGCTGAAACCCACCTCTGCCACAACATTACTTTTCTGACCACTAAACTGCATTTTGTTAGTGGGAGGTTTGCTGAAACATGGGGGCTTCCAAAAACAGGCTGGGACAGGTTTAGTCCCAGGCGCCTTGCACTCGCAAACAACCAGCCTGGCACAGAACACAAACAACTAGTATTTTGAGCTACATTTATCCAGATGTAATCACATCCGCACTAATAAAATTTGCCTTTAATATACATAGTTTAAATTTCAATGTATTCTCATAAACTTTTTACACCAGAGGAATTTAAAAAAAAAAATATTTACATTACAAAAAAGAGCCGTACAAATGTTGAAGGAAAACAGATCAGTGTCGTCTCTAAGCTACTCAGAGGTATGAAGTCACCCAAGTCCACCAAAGAAGTTTCCAGGAAAATCCTCCTATGAACGTTTCATATCCAAAGTCCCCTTGGCCAGGACAAGGTCAGATGCTGGTGCTGCTGGACTGGAACTTCAAGCTGTTGGAAGTCGTGCATTGCATGGAATTCGACCTGCGAGACTGCAACACTTTGGCCAAGTACCAAAGGAAGATGAAGAAGCCTGGAGAAACAGGAGGAGATCACAGATGTTAAGCAGTTCCTTGAAGGGAGTGAGGAATTCAAATACATGGATAGAACTGCAGTCAGGGGTGAAATTCAGCAGGTTCTGACAGATTCTGCAGAACCCGTAGCAGAAATTTTGAGTAGTTCGGAGAACTGGCAAATACCACCTCTGGCTGGCCCAAGCAATGGGGAGGGAATGGGGATTTTGCACTATCATTCCCCCAGGAGTGGGGAGGGAATGGAGATTTTGCAGTATCCTTCCCCTGCCACGCCCACCAAGCCACACCACGCCCACCAAGCTACGCCCGCAGAATCGGTAGTAAAAATTTTTGAATTCCACCGACTGCAGTGTAATGTTGTACTGTAGGAATACCCTTGAAGAAAGGAGGAAGGAGGAAGAGCTGCAGCCAAGGCAACAGATAGATAAAAAGAAATCTGAGTCCGGGGCAGAAATGGAATCTGAGAAAACAGAAGATCACAGACGTTAAGCAGTTCCTGGAAGGGAGTGAGGAATTCGGACACACGGATAGAACTGCAATGTAATGTTGTACTGTATGAATAACCTTGAGGAAAGGAGGAAGAGCTGCAGCCAAAGAAACAGATAGATAAAGAAATTTGAATCCGGGGCAGATAGGAACCGGGTTCTCAGATAGGAACCTCCTTAGTTCACATTAAAAAAGGGGGAGGGAGGTGGAAGTGCAAGATTTTATTACTCTAACCTTATAATAAAAGAAGACAATAGACAAAGAATAGTTGTCTATTGTTCTTCAGAGAAGAACAATTAAGATGATCAAAGGCCTGGAGAGTAACGGATAACAGATTATCAGAGTTGGAAGGGACCTTGGAGGTCTTCTAGTCCAACCCTCTGCACAAGCAGGAGACCCTATAACCGTGATGGCGAACCTATGGCACGCGTGCCACAGGTGGCACGTGGAGCCATATTGGTGGGCACGCGAGCTCAGCTCCGCTAGCTGATTTTCAGGCCTTCTGGGCCCACTGGAAGTCGGGAAAGAGGCCATTTCCAGCCTCCAGAGGGCCTCCGGGGGGTTGGGAAGGCCATTTTCGCCCTCCCCAGGCTCCTAGAAAGTCTCTGGAGCCTGGGGAGGGTGAAAAACGGGCCTACCGGGCCATCACATGCCTAAAGCGGGGGGGGGGTCACGCGCATGTGAGGGGGGGGCAGGGCGCATAGAATTATGGGTGTGGGCACGCGCGAGGGCAACCCCCTGCTTTTGGCACGCAATGGCCAAAAGGTTAGCCATTACTGCCCTATAACATTCCAGACAAGGGGCTATCTATTCTCTTCTTCAAAGCCTCCAGTGATGGAGCACCCATAATTTCTGGAGGCAAGACATTCCACTGATTAATTGCGCTCACTATCAGGAAATTTCTTCTTAGTTCTAGGTTGCTCCTTTCCTTCATTACTTTCCATCCATTGTTTCTTTAGGTGCTTTGAAGAATAGGTTGACCCGTCTTCTTTGTGGAAGAATATTGGAAGACTATCAAGTCACCCCAGCCCTTCTCTTCATTAGATTAGACATGCCCAGTTCCTGCAACTGTCCTTCATATATTTTAACCTCCAGTCTATATCATCCATCTTTGTTGGTCTTCTCTGCACTCTTTCTAGAGTCTCAGCAACTTTTTTTGTAGAGGTTTCCTAAGTTTGGTTTCCCTTGAAAGGTTAAAATGCAGCAGTGTTGAAGTCTTTTCACCATCAGATCTGTCTGTTGTGGATGATCAAAGGTGTGAGAAGGACTGGAATTCAGAGGTGATGACCATTCTTTGCATTTGTCACCACACTATAAAAAAGATGTTGAGACTCTAGATTCTAGAGTCTAGAACCCGGGTCTGCAACCTTAAACACTCAAAGAGCCATTTGGACCCGTTTCTTGCAGAAAAGAAAACAGATGTTGGACAACCATTTGTCTGAAGTGGTGTAGGGTTTCCTGCCTAAGCAAGGGGTTGAACTAGAAGACCTCCAAGGTCCCTTCCAACTCTGTTATTCTAAAAAAAACTGAAATTCTACTTTATCCTAGAAAACTCCAAAATGAATGGTATGGTAGGTATATAGACAAATCAGGCTGTCATTCAATGTTGACTCAGAATGAATGCAATTAAGGGAGCACAACCAGCAAATATTTGATTGGAAATTTCTTGGTTTCCCACAACGCCACCACTACCAATTTCTGCAGAGGGATGAATCTAATTCCAGGGGTCTGCAACCTTAAACACTCAAAGAGCCATTTGGACCCGTTTCCCGCAGAAAAGAAAACACCGGGAGCCACAAAACCCTTCCTGTGCCTAACTATTTCTTGAGCGGCCACAAAACTAGCTTATGTAGTTGAATTAAACATTCTGTTTTCTTCTGAAACTTTTCTTTTCTTGGATTTATCCATGGTTGGCCTACCGGGGGTTGAAAAGCTCAATATATCGCCTGCCAGCAGGTGTCGCTCATTGGTGGTTGTGACGCATATTTTGAGTGACAGGGAGCCGCAGCAGAGGGGTGAAAGAACCACATGTGGCTCCAGAGCTTCAGGTTGCTGACCCCTGGTCTAGAAAGAGCACAGAGAAGAGCAACCAAGATGATTATGGTAGAGGGTAAAACATACAATGAACAATTGCAGGAACTGGGCATGGTCAGTCTAGTGAAGAGAAGTCCCATCACTTTCACAAGCTCAGATTGAATTGAAAAGATGAAGTCCCAGAGCCAAAATGCAACTCTCTCTTGTGTTGCGTGAAAATCCAGGGGACAAAAACTGATAAGGTGGCAGACCTCAAGAGTAAGGGGAGCAGGAATACTCACTGACCTTGGAGAGAGTTGATGATGGTGAAAAGATACACGGCCACCAGCTTGAAGGTCCCAGAAGCGAACGCAAAGAAGACCAGCCCCCACGGGATGCCCAGGACACAGCTCAGACCCAGGAGCATTACCACATATCCCCAGTGATGCTCTCGATGTCTCAGCTTGAGAATCTCATACACCATGGTGGCCAGCATGATGCTGTTGAAGAAAAGCACCAGGCTTAAATAGCCCAAATTCAGGAAATTGTTGATCTCCTTTTTGGTAATCCAACAGCTGGAGGAGAAGAAGAGAAAAACACAGAAAGGTTAAGTCTAGACACTATTTAACTAGCTGGAAGGTGCATGAAAACTGGAATGTGAGCTTTCAAATAGGCTGGGAAATTTTCTTTAAGCTGACACCTTCCCCCAAAACAGGAATTTCCAGGATGCTCCAGGGCCAATCATGAATGTGATGTGTCCCACCCTCTTTGTGGTCTCTGCTCATTCCTTGATTCCCTCGTTCTCCAAGAAACTGGATTGATGGAAATGATGTTCTAGCATTACCTGGCTACAGGTGTTTTATCATAAGCAACGTAGGATCAAAAGATGGCCCATGCTAAGCAAGGGCTTAATGAGTCTAGTCACAATACATCTTGATAGAATCATAGAATCCCAGGACTGGAAGAGATCTTGAAGGTCTTCTAGTCCAATCTACTGCACAAGAGCTTATACTATCCTGGACAAATGTTGTCCAATCTTTTCTTGAAAATTTCCAATGATGGAGCATCCATCCATCCATCCATCCATCCCACCATCCATCCATCCATCCATCCTACCATCCATCCATCCATCCATCCATCCATCCATCCATCCATCCATCCATCCTACCATCCATCCATCCATCCATCCATCCATCCATCCATCCATCCTACCATCCATCCATCCATCCATCCATCCATCCATCCATCCATCCATCCATCCTACCATCCATCCATCCATCCATCCATCCATCCATCCATCCATCCATCCTACCATCCTGCCAGCCAGCCACCAGCCACCCACCCACCCACCAATGAAGCACAATCATGATGTGAGATTAGAAGAAACTGATCTAGAAAATTATGATATAGGTGAAATTCAAATATTTAACCCAAAACCTAAAGAGAGAATGTTAATCTGTGTGAACATTTACACATGCCACCCAGACAACAGGTAAAGTGGGATAACCTGGAAGAGTCTTTAGTTGACATGTTACATCAACGCATGGTTTAATTATTTCTGGGGATTTTAATGCTAGAGTTGGCGATACTGTACTGAATTTAAAGGATAAAGACTTTTTTTTAAATTGGAGGCCACTTTCCCTCTGGAACATACATCTCATGAGAAGGGCTTATACTATCTTGGACAAAAAACAGGATTTTTCAGGACACTCCGGTACCAATCATAACTGCGATGTATCCCATCCTCTTTGTGGCCCACATTCATCCCCGCATCCTCAACATACAACCATTCGTTTAGCAACGATTCCAAAAAAAAAACACCGTGTACTTAAAAAAAGTGACTTAGGACCACTTCTCACACTTACAAAAGTCACATCCCCCCAGTCATAGGATCAAAGATTGTGCACTTGACAGCTGGCATGTATTTATGAGTTATGCCACCACACAGTCATGTGATCACCATTAGTGACCTTCCCAGTCAAGTTCCAACAAGCAAAGTTAATGGGGGAAGCCAGACTTGCTTAATGACTTACAGGTAGTCCTCGAGTTACAACAGTTCATTTATTTGGGGGGGGGCTTTTTTGTCTTTTAATGACCCCATAATACCTTGCATGGGAGGTGGAGTTGTGGCAACTGAATGGAGCTGAGTGTATTTGTTCCTTGTATTGTTCCTGATTGTTCCTTGTATTTTTCTACAAACTGGTAAGAAGATTTTATATCCCTGGATTGCTCTTATATTGCACTTTCTATGGCTAAGACTTGGATTGTTAAAGGACTATGATTTTGCTTTTCCCTAAAAGTAAAATATATAAAACCCAGTTTGTCTGTATGTTATTCACAATTACTCTCAAAATGTTTCTGTGCGTAAAACTCTTATGGTACTCTGCTTTATAAGCCACAACTTCGGGTGAAATTCAAAAATATCCTTAACAAACCATGTGTCTAACTTAACAACTGAAGGGATTCACTTAACAACTGTGGACAGAAAGTTCATAAAATGGGGCAAAACCTCCCTTAACTCTCATTTATCAACAGAAATTTTGGGCTCAGTTATAGTCGTAAGTCGAGGACTACCTCTATGCGATTCGCTTAACTGCAGTGATTTGCTGAACAGGGCAGGGGGGGGAAGGTCATAAAATCAGGCGTGACTCAATTAACAAGTGCCTACTTAGCAATGGAATTTTTTTTTTTAATTTGATTTATATGCCGCCCTTCTCCGGAGACTCAGGGCGGCTTACAATGCGTTAAGCAATAGCCTTCATTCTTTTGTATATTTTATACAAGTCAGCTTATTGCCCCCACAAACTGGGTCCTCATTTCACCTACCTTAGAAAGGATGGAAGGCTGAGTCAACCTTGAGCCTTGGAGAGATTCGAACCAGCAGAAATTGCAGGCAGCTGTGTTAATGACAGGGTGCACTAAACCACTGTACTATCAAGGTTCTTTCTAGTTCTAGTTCCAGTTTCAGTCATAAGTCAAGGACTACCTGTATTGTGTCAGCTTCTAGGGCTGTTCAATCCTCAAGGAGAAATGCACCTTTCTGAATGGACAGTAGGAGGCGCTCTTTTTCTACATGCCAAGAACTTACATGGTTGAATTGGTGTATTCACCGGCGGTCTCGTAGATCTTAAAAGAGAAAGGGCCATAGTGGGACTGGTCGATCACAAAAATTAGACACACGATGAATATGGGAAGACCTGCAGAGGAGAACAACCCACATTAGTGCTTCTTCCACTAGTGCTCACTCAGAAAGTTTTACGTTTTCCATTGGTTTAAACTATTTCCGTACTGTCCAGTGTATATTTCCCTCCTACTCTCTTCCCGAGTGACACACTGAATAAAGAAATATCCAGTTAAAAAAGGAATCAGAGAACCTAAAACTAGAGTTTCTAGTCCTGCCTTCAGGTGCTTTGGAGAATAGCTTGACTCCCTCTTCTTTGTGGCAACCACTGAGATATTGGAACACTGCTATCATGTCTCCCCTAGTCCTTCTTTCCATTAAAATAGACATAGCCAGTTCTTGCAATCACTCTTCATATGTTTTAGCCTCCAGTTCCCTAATCCTCTTTGTTGCTTTTCTCTGCACCCTTTCTAGAGTCTCCACATCTTTTTTTACATCGTGGCGACCAAAACCGGGTGCCGTATTCCAAGTGTGGCCTTACCAAGGCATTATGAAGTGATATTAACACTTCCCATGATCTTGATTCTATCCCTCTATTTATGACGCCTAGAACTGTGTTGGCTTTTTTGGCAGCTGCTGCACACGGCTGGCTCATATCTAAATGGTTGTCCACTAGGACTCCAAGATCCCTCTCACAGTTGCTACTATTGAGCGAGGTACCACATATAACTGTACCTGTGCATTTTGTTTTCGTTTTAAATGATGCGATTTAATCACACTTGTTCATCGAAAAAGAGCAATTCATTCTGACAATAAGGGAAGAGATTTTAAAAAGCATAACATTTTCTTAAGAACATGAAGAAGCCTATGGAGATTCTCAGTCCTTCGGGTCATGGTTGTCCCAAAGATGCTTTTTTTTTTCAAGAGGCAACTGGACTTCCTGGTTTTTCTTTGAAGACGTTTCACTTCTCATCCAAGAAGCTTCTTTGGTTCTGAGAAGCGAAAGGTCTTCAAAGAAAAACCAGAAAGTCCAGTTGCCTCTTGAAAAAAAGCATCTTGAGGATGAAGTCCCCAAAAATGGGAAAATGTCTAATACATTACAATCAAACATGATGCCCTCCATTTAAATCAGGGGTCTCCAAACTTGGCAACTTTAAGACTTGTGGACTTCAACTCCCAGAGTTCCTCAGCTGGCTGAGGAATTCTGGGAGTTAAAGTCCACAGGTATTAAAGTTGCCAAGATTGGCAACTTTGCTGGCTGAGGAATTCTGGGAGTTGAAGTCCACAAGTCTTAAAGTTGCTAAGGTTGGAGACCCCTGATTTAAAGGCTGCCATGATATGGTCCTTTCTTGCACTTTGTTCTTCTTGCGTCTACATCCCAGGGGGTTGGCTGTGAGAACCCAGCTCATCTAAAGCCACTTCCTGAATTCACAGCAGAAGCGAGTCTGAATGGAAGCTTTTGCATCTTCTGTGGCTGTGCCCACCTTCTTCCTCTCACTGTCTGCTTCATGTTCCAAAGAGCTGGTCATAACCTCTGAAGTTCTAGATAACTAGAGGTTTCTTCCCCCAAAGCTTCTGCCACTCACCCCAGCCCACCAAGCAAAGCTTGAGGAGCAAATGCTTGACGTAGGAGTTGAAGACTTCGACCACCAGCCGGTAGAGACTGTACCCCTCAATGGCCATCCAAGTCAAGCACGCTAGCATGGCAAAGTGCAAGAACATCCCGCCAGCTTTGCAGGCCGCGTCCCCTCCGGTAGGAGCCAGGGGCACCGCGATGAGGAAGCTCATGTCGAGGAGAAAGATGGCCCAGAGGAGATTCATGTGGACATAGACGATGTGGTCTCTCTGCTTTTTCCTGTGAAGAAGGAAGAGCATCAGGCTTCTTTTCTTGGTTGTATGAAGCTCAGAGCTGCAGCCGTGGAAAGTCTGAGAACCTGTTGTACGAAAGGGTTTCATCCCCAAGACTTTGTAGAAAGTTAGTACCCACCCTTCTCCTAGAACCGTGATGGTGAACCTATGACATACATGCCACAGGTGGCACGCGTAGCCATATCAGTCCCACTGGAACTTGGCAAACGGGCCGTTTCTGGCCTCTGGAGGGCCTCCAGGGGTGGTGGGGAAGGCCGTTTTTGCCCTCCTCAGACTCCTAGAGAGGCTCTGGAGGCTGGGGACAGCAAAAAACGGGCCTTATGGTCCTACTGGAAGTTGGCAAACGGGCCGTTTCTGGCCTCTGGAGGGCCTCCGGGGGTGATGGGGAAGGCCGTTTTTGCCCTCCTCAGACTCCTAGAGAGGCTCTGGAGGCTGGGGACAGCAAAAAACGGGCCTTACGGTCCTACCGGAAGTTGGCAAATGGGCCGTTTCTGGCCTCTGGAGGGCCTCTGGGGGGTGGGGAATGCTGTTTTTGCCCTCCCCAGACTCCTAGAAAGGCTCTGGAGCCAGGTAAGAGAGGAAAACGGGCCTACAGGGCCATCACGTGCCAGGAGTGGTGGGAGTGGGGAGGTCATGCGCGTTATGTGGGCGGGGTGCATAGAATTATGGGTGTGGGCACGTGCACACATGACCACCACCACTCCGACGCCCTCCCCCCGGCACGCGATGGCAAAAAGGTTAGCCATCACTGTCCTAGAAAAACGAAATATTTTGAGGAATATTTTTTAAAAGAGGCAGAATATTATAATTTCCCCAAAGGGAGAAATGGAGAAACATGTTTGTTTGTTTTTAAAGCAACCCTCACTTTCTTAATAGCCCCAGCGGATATTTTGTGCCCATTAGGAAAGACTGGGCCAGCCTATCTACAAAACAAAAGACCTTCAGTTCCAGGATGAAGCCATTAAGCCACCATAGGAATTACCCAAGACCCTTTCAGAACACAAGCCCCTTCATTGCATCCCCTCAAACTTCTACCAAACCTAGCTCAGACAAACGCCTAGGATTTGTAGATGGCCCCATGGGACAACAGCCAATAGAGTACACGTTCTTGCGCAGGAACAGGAAGCTCAAGTGCAAAGCCCAAGAGAAGGGATAAATACCCCCCACTCTCAACTCCATCTGATCAGCTGCCCAGAACCCACGTGGTTCTGCTTCATCATTAAACAAATCTTTCCAATCAGCCCCCCTGTTTCCAGTCTCTTTCTCCCAGCTTGGAACTGAACCAGATGGATATTTCTTCCAACAACTGGTTCCCTGAGTTATTTAGCCTGCCTCTGTCAGACATGCTATCCTTCGCTCACTTCTATGCTTCGCTTAGATCAGGGGTGAAATGTAAAATTTGTTACTACCGGTTTTGTGGGCGTGGCTTGGTGGTGGTGGGGATTTAATGTGACTGGGTAGGCGTGGTCAACTTTTTTTAAAAAAAACTTTTCAAAGCATTTTTTCTGCAAATGCAAAAAAAAAATGCTTTGAAAAGCCTCTGCCGATCAGGCAACACAGCTGGGATCGTCAGAGCCTTTTCAAAGCATTTTTTTAAACCACCTCTTCTGCTGAAGAAGTTGCAGGAAAAAAATGCTTTAAAAGTCTCTCTGATAATCCCAGCTGAGTTGCCTGATCGTCAGAGGCTTTTTTTTTTTACTTTTAAAAGCATTTTTTTCGGCCGAAGAAGTTGTAGAAAAAATGCTTTTAACGGTAAAAAAAAAAAAAAGCTTCTGATGATCGTTCGGCTCAGCTGGGCATGGGGGGGGGGCCAGGGATTTTTGCTACCGGTTCTCCGAACCACCCGCCACCATCGCTACTGGATCGGGCGATCCGGTCCAAACCGGGAGCATTTCACCCCTAGCTTAGATGCCAGTCTGCCCTACGTTATTGGGGTTAGGAACTGGTGGGGGGGGGAGTTAGGGAAAGGATCTCAAGCAAGACATGGGAAACCAGAAGTGATAGTTGTGGCATCTGGAGACATCTCAAGCCCGTGGTCCTGGGAGTGGAATGCAGCACCTATCCATCTAACCAACCATGACAGGGACTATTACCAAAACATCTTCTCTAAATGTGACTGGACAATGGGGAGATGGGGAGGGAGGGTGGCTTGGGGAAGGGGGAAGTTAACCTACAGATTTTCACACTCAAACTTTAATTCTGGCTATGCATTGCTGTAACCACTTGGCGTTTAGTACAAGATTTTTTTTTCTCTACAAATGGGAGTCGAGAGTGGTTCTTTCCTAAGGGACCAAGTTTGGGCCAGGCCTGACAGCCTCCCTGTTGTTCTGCCTGGAGTTCTGACATGCTGTTGGCCATGTTGGTTGAGGCTCATGGAAACTGAAGTCCAAAGAGCATTGTACTTCTCTTCTTGGTTGTATGAGACTCCAAGCTGCAGTCATGAAGTGTCTTAAAACCTGTTGTAGGAAAGGGTTTGATCCCCAAGAGCTGATTCCTGAGTTATCTAACTGGCTTCCCCCTCCAGATGTTCTGCAGGCCATTCACATAGTCCATTGCTGTTGGCCATGCTGGTTGGAGCTCATGGAAACTGAAGTCCAAAAGACTGGACAGTCACAGGTCATCAACCTCCGTCCAGCTCATAAAACATCCATCCTTCCAATGCACACAGACTCCCACCTCCCACAGACCTCTATCCCGGCCTCTGACCTTCCCATTGATATGTTGCATGAATTCCCCACTCCATCCCAACCTACTTTGAACAAAGGAAAAAGAAGATGGTGAAGAACGAAGCTAGAGCTGAAATGATGCAACCGACGTAAGTTACAATAGTCAGGTACTCATAGTGGATGTGGTCTATCTCTGGAGACGACACCTGCAGAAGAAAGGAAGGAAGTGGTTTAGGAAGCACAAGAGGTGAGAAAAGATCAGAAGAAATCTTTCAGTGATTCTACAGAGGAGCTCAGGACCGAGATCCATCAGACTGTGTCAAATTACAACACCATCGGTGACTAAATTCCTTTGGATTGTCAGTTGTTGTAGACCTTCTGCAACCTGGAAGGGCCCCCATTTTTTCCAACCTGTTCTGCTGTCAGACTGCGGAGCTATCTCAAAATTAAATGAATTTCCAAACTGCCAATCTTTAAGGAAATCTTTCTTTAATTGAGCTCAGCCACCGGATCATGACTCCACGCAGACAAGACTGACCTTTTGCCTCCCAATCCCTCCCTTTCCGATCCCCAACTCTCTGCTTCTCATTGGTTGTCTTCCAAGTCATTCTTCAGACTTCTTCTCCTCGTCATTTCTCAGGAATGTGCCCCCTCCCTGATTTCCACGACAACCAAGCTTCAAAGGGATTTTGCAGGCAAAAGTTTCAGAGTTTATCTTTCGCTCTCCTCTGCTCTCTCTATGCCAGCGTTGCAACGCTGACATCTGCAAGATACTCACCATGAGTACCGCAAAGAAGGTGAGATGGTCACAAAAGCAGGTTATTTGATGTTCTTCTTGCACCATTTCACACCCTGATGTGTTCCACTTGCCAGGATGGCTGGCTGAAATCAAAAAGATTTTATTTCACAAATGATTCTCCTTCTTGTGTCCATGTGGGGATTCCAGACTAATTCCCGTTTGACTCTTCCCTCTGTCTCGGCCGGTGTCTCTCCAACACCCACCTGGCTTCATGCTCAGGTCAGGACTAAAACTCACAATCTCTTCGTTTCTAATCTTAACTATTACACCAACCTGGCTCTCCAGATATCGTATTATTTGGTGCCTAATCTTTGTTAACCGCAGCTGCATTTTTCACAAATGAACCAATGCAGAAATCACTGAAGGAGAAACCCAGAGCAGCCTTTCAAAACTTCATTTTCACACTAGTGGTGGGCTTCAAATTTTTTTACTACTGGTTCTGTGGGTGTGGCATGGCTAGGTAGGCGTGGCTTGGTGGGCGTGGCAGGGGAAGGATACTGGAGAATCTCCATTCCCACCCCACTCCAAGGGAAGGTTACTGCAAAATCCCCATTTCTTCCCGATCAGCTGGGACTTGGGAGGTAGAGAATAGATAGGGGTGGGGGGCCAGTCAGAATTTTTACTACCAGTTCTCCGAACTACTCAAAATTTCCGCTACCGGTTCTCCAGAACTGGTCAGAACCTGCTGAAACCCACCTCTGTTTCACACTCCAACTTCTTTAGACACTTACCCTTGGAGCCCACGTCCCAGAACACACATGTGGGAGTCAAATTCCTCTGAAATAAAACCAAAATCCAAATAGTGAACACAGCACATCATCATCCTCTTTTAATGACCCCATAATCCCTTGCGGGGTAAAGTCTGGGCAACTGAATGGAGCTGAGTGTTTATTTATTTATTTATTTATTACATGTATTTCTATGCTGCCATTCTCCCGAAGGACTCAGGGCGGCGAACACAAGTTAAGAAACAAGTACAATAAAATCATAATTTACTGGCCGGATGCCCTTCCTGTCGCCAATGAGGAGTTTTTTTCAGCAGATATATCCTCATTGTGCCCAGAGAGAGAAATATCTGCCTCTACCTAGGATCGAACTCGCAGCCTCCTGATTGTGAAGCGAGAGCTCCATCTCTAGGCCACCGCATCTCTCAAATAGTGAACGCAGCACATGGCACAAGCAAAATAGCCACAGGGAAATGTGATTATTTATCTCTTTTTCCCTTGGGAGCCCTATTGATCTAAAATAATTGTTCAATTTGAAAGCTATCAAGGAAAAGTCAAAAAAATTGGAAAGAAGCCAAAGTGTATTCAGAAAACAAAAAGAAGAAACAAGTTATTTCTGATGACAAATGAACATTCTACATTTCTCTATCATAGCTGCTAGTTGACCGCTGCTTAAAAAAGCTGTCTGCTTGTAACCACATATTTGCATGTTGTTTTCCTAAGAGTGATGCACTGTTTTATTTTGAGCTGTAGTTACGTATAAGTGTACAAAGGAACCAATTTCCCAAGGGCTGAACGAATTTAAAGAATAGTCTTTCGATTTGCATTGTGAACAAAATCCTAGAATATACCGGTGGGGAAAATATACTAAATATCAGGTGTAATTCTACCATGCACCATTGTGTAAGAAATGTTTTCTATGATTTCTGGGCCGGAGGCCAGGGATTAGTTAGTCAAGCAACTCCATCCGTAATCAGGAAAACAAAGTTCTATCTTTGTGTTTCTGAACTGAACACTTGGTATTGAATCATAGAGCTGGAAGGGTCCTTGGAGGTCTTCTAGTCCAACCAGGGGGTGAAATGTGAAAATTTTTGTTACTACCGGTTCTATGGGCGTGGCTTGGGGGGTAATGTGACTGGGTGGGCGTGGCCAACTTTTTTTAAAAAAAACTTTTCAAAGCATTTTTTCTAATGCTTTGAAAAGCCTCTGCCGATCAGGCAACTCAGCTGGGATCATCAGAGACTTTTCAAAGCATTTTTTTTACCACCTCTTTGGCCAAGAGGTTGCAGGAAAAAAATGCTTTGAAAAGCCTTTGATGATCCCAGCTGAGCGCGCGCGATCATCAGAGGCTTTTTTTTTTACTTTTAAAAGCATTTTTTCTAATGCTTTGAAAAGCCTCTGGCGATCAGGCAACTCAGCTAGGATCATCAGAGACTTTTCAAAGCATTTTTTTTACCACCTCTTTGGCCAAGAGGTTGCAGGAAAAAATGCTTTGAAAAGCCTCTGACGATCCCAGCTGAGCCGCGTGATCATCAGAGCCTTTTTTTTTCTTTTAAAAACATTTTTTCTAATGATTTGAAAAGCCTCTGGTGATCAGGCAACTCAGCTGGGATTGTCAGAGACTTTTCAAAGCATTTTTTTTTTACCACCTCTTTGGCCCAGAGGTTGCAGAAAAAAATGCTTTGAAAAGCCTCTGACGATCCCAGCTGAGCTGCAAGATCATCAGAGGCTTTTTTTTTTACATTTAAAAGCATTTTTTCCAGTGCTTTGAAAAGCCTCTGCTGATCAGGCAACTCAGCTGGGATCGTCAGAGACTTTTCAAAGCATTTTTTTACCACCTCTTCTGCCAAGAGGTTGCAGAAATAAATGCTTTGAAAAGCCTCTGACAATCCCAGCTGAGCCGCACGATCATCAGAGCCTTTTTCTTTTTACTTTTAAGAACATTTTTTCGTCGGAAGAGGTTGAAGAAAAAATGCTTTTAAAAGTAAAAAAAAAAAAAGCCTCTGATGATCGTGCGGCTCAGCTGGGCATGGTGGGGGGGCCAGGGATTTTTGCTACTGGTTCTCCGAACCACCCACCGCCATTGCTACCGGATCGGGCGATCCAGTCCGAACTGGGAGCATTTTACCCCTGACTGGAAGGGACCTTGGAGGTCTTCTAGTCCAACCTTATACCACCCCAGACAAATGGCTGCCCAGTCTTTTTTAAAAAACAAAAACCCTCCAGTATGGAGCATCCACAACTTCAGGAGGCTCCTTCATTGATAAATTGTTCTCACTGTCAGGAAATTTCTCCTTATTTCTTTAATAAGCTTCCACCAATTACTACCCTCTGGTGCTTTGGAGAAGAAGTCAATCCCATCTTTTCTGTGATTGCTCTTCAAGTCGTGGAAGACGGCTCTCATGTCCCTCCTAATTCTTCTCTTCAATAGATTGAACATACTGCATCTATTTCCATCAACTGTTCATCAGACAATTTAGCCTCCAGACCTCTTATCGTTTTTATTGCTCTTCTCTGGAGTCTCTCAACATCTTTTTTTTTTTTTGTATCATGATGACCAAAACTGGATGCAATATTCCAGCGTGGCCTCACTAATGAGGCATAAAATGGTACAATCACTTCTCATGATCTTGAAATTATCTCTCTGTTGATGCAGCTCAAAACTGCAGTGGCTTTTTAGCAGCTGAAGCACGCTGCTGGCTCATATCTCTATACCAGGTTACCTCTATCTAGTGGTGAAAATGCAGCCAGTTCTATCTGGCGGGCAAACTGGTAGCACGGTGGTGGGAGGCTCGCCCACCCACCGGATGTCATCATGTCCCGTTTTTGACCCTCTGCACATGCGCAGAAGGCTCTGTGCATACATGGAGGAGGCGTGCGCACACACATTTGCGAACCGGTAGCGAAAGTAAGTGGATTTCATCCCTGCCTATTTCCCTTTCACATCAGTGACTCCCACTGAAGTCACACCAGAAATTCATTTTAGGAGCAAAGCTAATTCACACATTTCACTGGATATCATGAACATATTTATCTACTTCCTTTTGTGAATGTGTTGGACCTCCAGTCCAGTGGTGAAATGTAAAATTTGTTATTACGGTTCTGTGGGCGTGGCTTGGTGTGTGTGTGTGTGTGGGGGGTAATATGACTGAGTGGGCGTGGCCAATTTTTTTTTTATTACTTTTAAAAACATTTTTTCTATAACCTCTTCGGCCAAAGAGGTTGTAAAAAAATGCTTTTAAAAGCCTCTGATCCCAGCTGATCGGCAGAGGCTTTTCTTTTTTTTTAAAGCCTCTGACGATCCCAGCTGACTTGCCTGATCGGCAGAGGGTTTTTTTTTTTTACTTTTAAAAGCATTTTTTCAGCCAAAGAGGTTGTAAAAAATGCTTTTAAAAGCCTCTGACGATCCCAGCTGACTTGCCTGATCGGCAGAGGCTTTTTTTTTTTAAAAAAGCCTCTGAGAATCCCAGCTGACTTGCCTGATCAGCAGAGGGTTTTGTTTTTTTTTACTTTTTAAACGCATTTTTTCAGCCAAAGAGGTTGTAGAAAAAATGCTTTAAAAAATGAAATAAAAAGCCTCTGATGATTGCGCAGCTCAGCTGGGCATGGAGGTGGGGAGGGATTTTTGCTACCGGTTCTCCAAACCACCCGCCTCCATCGCTACTGGATCGGGTGATCTGGTCCGAACCAGGAGCATTTCACCCCTGCTCCAGTCCCATGTAGAGATTAAGAAGTGGAGAATCCTTGCTTGATAAATGGCTCACGGAGTAATCTTTGGCTTAGTCTATCCTACCACTATGTCCCAAAAGTGCTTTTCTCAAGAGGCAACTGGACTTTCTGGTTTTTCTTTGAAGACGTTTCGCTTCTCCTCCAATAAGCTTCTTCAGCTCGGCTTCTTGGATGATGAAATGTCTTCCAACCCCCCCCCCCCCAGAAAGTCCAGTTGCCCCTTGAAAATTGTTTGGGACAACCTTGATCTGGATGATGGAGAATCTCCATAGACATTTATTCTACCACTAAGTTCTCAAGAGCTTCCTCATCTTCACATGAGATTCATTCACAGCCTTTCAAAGCAGCCCACTGAAAATCTTGATGGGAGATCTCTTCTGGCCCACCAGTAAGCCTCCGGGAGATGGGGAGAAGATATTTCAGACCTACCGGAAGGAGGTGGTGCCAAAAGGTGATAGAGATCCGTTCTTCTTCGGGCAATCCATGGACAGGCATGTTGCCCACTGAGATGCCAACCACATTTCCACCAAGGAGAGAGTTAGAATCATTATCCTGCCAGAAAGAAAGTTTGAAAACTAAAAATACATACATACTTACATACATACATACATACAGTTGATTTCAACTGCACACCTCAACATTAATTTGGGACACACGTGATATGTTTTCCATAAAGACTTTTTCACGTGTGCACTTTAGTCACAATCTATGGGCACTGCGTTCTACGCTTTCTTCCCAAGCACTATAGGTAAAGGTAAAGGTTCCCCTCGCACATATGTGCTAGTTGTTCCTGACTCTAGGGGGTGCTGCTCATCTCTGTTTCAAAGCTGAAGAGCCAACGCTGTCCGAAGACGTCTCCTGTGGTCATGTGGCCGGCATGAAACCTGTTCCCTTCCCACCAAAGGTGGTCCCTATTTTTTTCTACTTGCATTTTTTACGTACTTTTGAACTGGCAGAAGCTGGGACAAGTGATGGGAGCTCACCCCCGTTACGCAGCACTAGGGATTCGAACCGCTGAACTGCTGACTTTTCGATCGACAAGCTCAGCATCATAGCCACAAAGCCACCGTGTCCCTTAATCCCAAGCACTATGCAAGCCCACAATTTGTTA